TACATGCATGATCCAGGAGTAGGTCATTGGGACACCGTGAGATGGATTTTAAGGTACATTAGAGGTACGCTCAATGTTGGTTTGATTTATGAGCGGGACACTGTAGGTGGGCAGTTATGCATTGGCTATGTTGATTCGGATTATTATGCCGGGGATTCGGATAAGCGCCGGTCTACGACGAGGTATGTATTTACTTTGACCTATGCACCGGTGTGTTAGAGATGCACTTTACAGTCGACGGTGGCTTTGTCTACGATGGAGGCAGAGTATATGGTAGTTACGGAGGCTGTGAAGGAGGCTATTTGACTTCGATGACTTTTGGAGGAACTTGGTATATCGTAGAGATCCATCACTATTCATTATGATAGCATGAGTGCTATCTATTTGGCGAAGAATCAGGTTTTTCATGCGCGGACAAAGCACATTAACGTTCGTTATCACTTTGTTCGTGATGTTCTTGAATATGGCGATATAGAGATTGTGAAGGTCCACACGAAGGATAATCTGGCGGATATGCTCACTAAGATGGTTCCGAGCAACAAGTTTGATCATTGTCAAAACTTATTACACATTCGTGATTGTTGAGGCTACAGGCGGCCATTTGGGTGAACTACGTGAATGCTTGATTCCTTGGGTAAGAGGATACGTAGGCAGTCTTTATGATACAACCGATTTGATGGGTTATACCGACATTTGGAGAGTGTTCGTATTCTCGTTTGGGTCTCGACTTGTTGTGGATTGAGTCCGTTATCATGAATTGTTTCACTTCATCCTAGACGTAACAAGTTGGACATTTGTTTGGTTGGTATTGGTTCAGTTTTGGGAAAACTTCACCGAGATAGAGAATTGTGATCACGTTGGGGTATGGGGGCCACTCACGCTCTGTTGCCCACAATTGCGCGTGAAGAAAAGAAGCTGGAGGACGTGGTTTTTTATTTTTTCCGCATGAAGAGAAGCAAGACCCACGAACCGCAACCACTGCTATAAATAACAACTTGATTTCTTCTCCTAGGTTTTTTGGTGCAAGGAGAATTTGTGAAGTTGTGCGGCTACAGAACAAGTACGAAAGCAAAGGAGATTTGGTTAATTGCAGCTACAAGGATTCCTTTTGGAGGCTGCATGCGCAAGTGCAGAAGAAAATTGTGACGGCTGGTTTTGAGAAGCCGCTGATTTTTCAAGTTTTTGTGAATCCTTTTGAGAGAGATATTTGTGTGAGAGGTTTGAGAGTTTGTGTGAGGGTTTAGATTAAGTGATTGTAAATTCTAGTTGTATTCTCTCCCTCTAGTAGTAGATCTCCCCCCTCCTTGCCCCGTGGACGTAGGCAATTTGCCGAACCACGTAAAATTAGTCGTCTCGCTATTTGTGTGATTTGTAATAGCTTTTAGGTTCCCTCGACAAGTTAGTCCTAGAACTGATGAGAGGAAGAGCTGATATCTCACTTGGTTGAGATATTTTTCTTAAAGTTCTTGTTTCCTTTGTAAAACAGGAATTCCTATTACGACCTGACTCTCTTGTTATGCTGCTGAAGTGCTGCCGAAATTTTCGCTGCGCGCAACATACCAAACATTCTAGATTATAATATAAAGTTTTCAAGCATGCGTGTTTAGATTAACACTGCCTGAACATCAATTTATTGAAATATGAGAAAGCCATAAGAATGCATGTGGCTCCCCTAGGTGCTAGTGATATCACATTGGTTTTTTTTAATTACAATCTAACTACATAACTAAAGTATACGGAACCATGTTGCTAATAACGTTAGTAAATACAGAGAAAAACCCTAGTTATTAAACAAGATGTTGTGCGCGCGGAAGCCAAAACCAAACCGATATGCTTCAAGAAACCAAACCAATCGCCGAGAGAGAAGGCCACAAACAATTCAAAATAATGACACATACGCAAACAACCAATTTTAATGTTGTTCGGCAAGTTGCCTACCTCCACAGGGTAAGAAAGGGGATGAGTTTTTTACTATAGAGAAGGAGAGTACAAACTGAGATTACAAATCGCTCAAACCAATCAACTAATCTCACCAACAAAGCTCTTAATCTCTCAAATAATAACCTAACCAATAGCTCAAAAAGATCTCTCTTTTCTGTGCTCTAATATCCCCAAAACAATTCCCAATCAAAGCCAAAAAAACCCCAAAATGTGTGTTTATATTTATAGCAAACACCAATCCCAAACAAAATAGGAAACCAAACCCAGGCTCAGACCCGATACGCGATCGACCGTCGCGCCAATCGCGGTCGACTGTTGCCAACGACAGAACCCAAAAAGCACTTACAGGGTCTCACGATCGACCGTCGCGCCAGTCGATGCGGTCGACCGTTAAAGTCCAGAGATTTTTCTGTTCCTTGTGCACGTTTGCGATTGACTGCCGCGCCACCCGCGGTCGACAGCGCAGCTTCCAAATTGTTCCGTCTCAAATTTTCTGAACCTCATTGTTTCCTCTTTAATTCTCCACCTCAGCGAAGTTTTCCTAAAACTGAGCCAACACCAACCAAAACAAATGTCTCACTTGTTGCGTCCAGTACGAAGTGGAACAAAACCACAACAACGGACTCAATCCACAACAAGTCGAGACCCAAATAAGAATGTGATCACTCTCCAAACATCGATGTCTACTCACCAAACCGACTGCATCATAAAACGACTGCCTACGTATCCTTGCCTAAGGAATCAAGTCTTTACATAGTTCACTCAAATGGCCTCCAAATACCCTCAATCAAATAGAAGAGTTCACAACTCTTCACCAACACATCTGCGGCTGATAGCCCTCCCAATGACCCCAAAGTGAAACCAATCAAACACCTCCACCTGAGGTGAACCAACGACCATATCCAAATCGAAACTATGTCTACCAGCTGCACTCAAATCAACCAACTCATCAACTGCATCCAAATCCAAATGATCCTCAAACTGTGTCACCTCAGCTGGAATCCCAAACGATGCAGTATGATCTAGAGTATGTGGAGTAATCTCCACCCAACGTGGAGTAATCTCCACCCAACGTGGAGTAGCATCATCCTCCACCCGCTGCGATATCCCAACAATCTGATTAACACTCTCTACCTGCCGAGATTCAAATGTGACATACCTGCTCAGAACAAAATTAGAGTCTCCCAACTGAAAACCAAACGAGCCTCTGACTCCCAAACGTGCAATCAGATCAAATCTCATTCCTCGATGTGACCAAATACTAGGCAACCAAACATCTGATGCAACCCAAAATCTGAAGAAGCTCTACCAGATCCAAAATCTCCAAATGTAGCAGTTGACAACCTATAACTAAGATGTCCCAAATATGTCAAAGCTCAAAAACTCCTCTGCAATCTAATGCTCGACAACCAACGTCGATCCTCCTCCAGCAAGGAACGACCCATCAAAACTATCATCTCTCTCGTTTCCCCAATATTTCCTCTCCAATGAAGTATCTCAAACTGTCGTGAGCTCGGCACAAACGCAAGAAAGAACCCCTACAAAAAACAGAACGACTGGTTACCTTTCTGCCAATACACTTCCTCCATCTGTTGTTGACTTCTAGGACTTTACACCAACGGGACTTGGTTGCAACCCACCAATGCCTAGAACAGTCCCCAACTACGGAAACCAAATATCAATTACCTTCCAATGATGCCTCCTTGGAAGGCCCCCAAATGCCTGAATGAACCCCACCTCAAAGACCCCTCGGTCGATGGATAGAAGTACCAAACTCCACCTCGGTCTTCTTGCTCATACCAATGTGCTCATAGGACTTCAATCTGCAGGTCAAAGCACTCCTCAACAATCCATGCACCATATCAACAATCGAATATCTCAGCCTCAAATCCTTCTTTCTTAGCCATAATTCTCAAAGCACCAACAAACCAATGCGGAACAAACTGAAAGAAAATAAATCCAAACTGTGAGAAAGGTAGATTTTTACCTCCAACTGAAACCCTAACAAGAGCCTCCAAAAGATCTCACCCCCACACAATGAAAGACAAGATCCACAATAGTAAAAATCTCATCTTTCTCACCAACTAAAACCCTAGAAGAGCTTCCAAAACGATCTACTCCTCCACTAATCCCTATGCATAGCATGGGCTCTAATACCACTTGTTGTGCGCGGCGGAAGCCAAAACCAAACCAATATGATTCAAGGAACCAAACCAATCGCCGAGAGAGAAGGCCACAAATAATTCAAAATAACGGCACAAACACAAACAACCAATTTTAACATGGTTCGGCAAGTTGCGTACGTCTACAGGGTAAGAAAGGGGATGAGTTCTTCACTATAGAGAAGAGAGTACAAACTGAGATTACAAATTTCTCAAACCAATCAACTAATCTCACCAACAAAGCTCTCAATCTCTCAAACAATAACCCTAACCAATAGCTCAGAAAGATCTCTTTTTTTTGTGCTCCAATATCTCCAAAACAATTCCCAATCAAAGCCAAAAAAAATCCTAAAACGTGTGTTTGTATTTATAGCAAACACCAATCCCAAATAGAATAGGAAACCAAACCTAAGCCTAGACCCGATACGCGGTCGACCGCCGCGCCAGTCGCGGTCGACCGTGGCCAACGACAGAACCCAAAAAACACTTACAGGGTCTCACGGTCGACCGTCACGCCAGTCGACTCACGGTCGACCGCCACGCCAGTCGACACGGTCGACCGCCAAAAGTCCAAAGACTTTCTTGTTCCTTGTGCACGTTCGCGGTCGACCGCCACGCCACCTGCGATTGACCGTGCAGCTTCCAAATTGTTCCGTCTCCAATTTTCTGAGCGTAGTTGTTTCCTCTTCACAAGATACCTACCCCTACCCTCCTCACAAAAAAAAGAGGTCTCAGATGTGATTGTTTGACCATCCATTTCAACTTTTGAAAGTCAACTTGAACGTGAAAAAACTATAGCAATTAAACACGACAACGTCTATAAAACAAATACATAATCATCATCTTGAAAATTGACTTTAAGATGTCATCAAAAAGATTGAGGAAGTGCCTGTAAAATCCTTCTAAGGATCTGCTGTCATTTCTACAAATCATAGGGATATTTTCTGTAAACCTATAACTTTCACAAAGACCCTCGTTTTTATTCAGTAAAATCTCCTCATATCACTAAATACATCTCTTATACAAATATATTTCACATACTTGAAATAGGGCATACGACTGATACATTCCTTATACACATACACGTCACATACTTCAGTTAAGGCTCGAAAGTACATTAAGCTTACGGCAGCAAAATACAGTATCATCATCAGACTGTGATCTAACACGTTATATATTTCTTCGACAATACGGGCAATAGCTGCAGGTTCGGACCCATGGTTTTAAGCACACAGTATGAAACCGATGTCCACACTGCAGCCTTATCAGCCCGTCTCCTTCACAGAAACTCTCTAAACATATACAGCACTCTTGTGATGCTGTTATTTGCCCAATTTCTTCAGAATTTCTGTAAACTTCTAGGTAAAGATTACACAGAGCTTCCCAGCTAACGCTAAAAGACTTCTTGCTATTGTGGGGAGTAAAATCAAGATATTGTAGGTCAGAGTTGAACGAACGTCTCAAAGCTTCATCTTCCCTGATAGACAAGAAATGTAGTGAACATAATGAACTATGGTTTAGTTAAATATAAGATGAAAGGATAATTCAATACATCACGAAGTTGAGCACAGAAAAGAGTTTCCAAGTACAAAACCTGGTTGCTGTAAGGGACACACTTCCTAGCCTCTCAAGAAGTCTCTCTCTTGCTTGTACTACATCATCAGGAAGTTGATTGTTTCTGATTCGCCTTGGTCTGCTAGCTACACTGGCATAATCTTCAACATGGTCTCGATTTCTAGCCTCCAAATCAATGGAGCTTCTTCGGGTCAATCGAACCGACTCATGTTCCTAGACACCAAAATACAAAAAAAAAATCTCAATATATATCAATTAGCTATCTTCGCCTGAAATTTATGTAGTTGTTAATTGGTATAATATATAAACTTGCAGATGCATAGTTCAGTTCTGCCATCCCCATAGCCAGGAAAGAGTAGATGATGCCCATGAACCGGGACAAATAATGAACAATTGCTATAAAGTCAAAACGTCCTGATGTAATACGGAATTTAGAAAGAGCTTCTACAGGAAAATGTAGACGAATGTTTATCAAAAGCAATTCATACTGCTGTATAACTGAAAGAACACCTCTTTAGTTTAAAACGAAGTTATGTTGCTGGTAGACCTGATACAATTGATAATTCATAGTGACATCCGTACGAACATCCAGATGTACAGTACAAAGGTTGCTTGGACCAGCAATAAAGTTAATATCGTATAGCAACTTATCTTTCTCTTCCTCATATGCACAATTGGTAATTCATCTAGGTGCTTTCAAACCATTTTGAATTAAAACTGCCCATTTTCTACTTGTCTAACATTTTTTCCCCACAGAGCATGTCATAATCTATGATTCCATTATAATATATATTTTTTTTAATTTTCAAATGAAAATTATTTTCAAAGATTAGGCAATAAACCAGAGATATGTTTACTTTTTCTTCTTTCAGTTAGCAGGAGAATCTAATAAAGCAATAAATACAGTGAGCCTAGAAAATCGTTCATGCACCATCCCTGTATTTGTAATTCAATGGAATAATACCAATAAAGAGCATGCCTTTATAAGATCAGAGCAGCGATAACTACACTACTACTTTTACACTACAAGAAAAAGTATAGGGTCCATTTTCTTCAACTTTTCTCAAAACTGATTACTCATCAAGCCCACACCTCTCTCTTGTAGTGTCGACTGTCGACGTAGGGTAGAGGTAGTGTAGTTATCATTACATATAAGATAAAGGATTAGATTACTGCTGCAATAATAGCTCCAGTATACAACAACATGAAATGAGATTGAAGATACTGCAAACAGAACTTGTTCCTAAGGGCTCGTTTGATTCCAATAACTTGTTACGTTCATTTCCAAGAGCTATAGGAAACCCAATTCCTGGCAACCAAATAAAAAAACACCATTTCCATAGGTTTCTTACAATAGAGTATTTTTGTTTGTTCCCCCTGAATTCACGGGTGGAAACAAGTTGGGCTTGAATATTCAGTTTGATGGAGCCTCCAAATAAGGAAATTCAACACTTCAAGAAAAGAATGGAGAATTGCTTTTCAGTGCACTATCAATGTTTCAATATAAGTGCCTCATTATTTTTTTTCCCTAAAAAGCAGCTTTCCAGCCCATTTCAATGTAAACAGAAGAGATTTGGGTTTCCAAAAAAGTGACGATTGCTGATGTTTCAGGAAATATTTTCGCAAGAAAAATGAAGAGCGAAACACATTATTAGGAAACCATTTTGACCAAATCATTTCTGCATTGAGTGCATCAGAAGGTCTCTATGTGTTTTTAGAGGTTTCCAAGTGAACCAAACAGCCCCTAAATGTCCCCTTTGTACGTATCTTGAAGCGTTCATCTTTCTTTGCTCTCAAAGCCTATCCTCGGAAAGTTCATCATAAACTAGGAAGATAACTGACACGATAAATATATCAAACCCCTGCTTATGTATCATCAAATTCATAGAAGCATGTTCGCCTCAAAAGAACCCCTCTTCATCCATTTCATATATTGTATCTTACTATCAGCAAACGGTCTCATAATCTATATCTATACTACATATAAAAGAGGTTTGGGGTGTTAAAACTTTTGATTGCCTCTTTTACCCTTCCAAAATTTCATAATTCACAATAATGCCTTGAAATTTATTCAATTCGTTTTATTTATTACACTATAATTATTCTTAAAATAAACATGATACCTAATACCTATGTTACCCGGGTACTTCTATAATGAAGCCGTACCCGTACCGGACACGTACCCGACACTTTCCCGTACCCAAACTTCATGGACACTTCTTGAATATATGCATGCATTTATTAAACATGTACTCAATTATACGATATATGTGTTAATTTAAAACACTTGTCAAAGACTTCATGGACGTAGAGCTTACACTTCACATCCGCCTTTTGAAACTAATGAGATACGGGTCGGATTCGTTTCAGTCCATACTCAATTTAAAACTATATAGTTAATGGGTCGTTTAGATGTCTAGTAAAAAAATTGAGTAGTTTACAATTCACGATAATCAATATGATAAAAGAAACTCAAAAATGTGATCGGAATTTTAATTCTAATGACACATGAAGGGGGGAAATTATCTAATGTACAGTATTAATTCAATATATATATGTAGTCGTGTCCTCGTACCCTACATTTTACAGTTTTGCCGTGTCCTGTACCCGCACCCGCACCCGTACTAGTACCCGTGCCCGTTTCCATGCAACTTAGCCTAATACTAAGAACTAAATATATATTATAAATTTTAATCAAAAATTTTATTCAATTCATTCTATTTATTACACTGTAATTATTCTTACACTAAACATAAGAACAGATATATTATAAATTTTACCAATATTAGTGTTATGTTAAATAAGATAAATATTTCACTTTAGATATTAGATATTACACAATAAATATACAATTTTAATATATAAGATAATAATATCGAAACTTATATTTATAAATTATATCATAATTTATGATAATTAAATATTTAATTACACATCTAACATCTAATCCAATACTATAATATATTGATATGTGCATCTGATGTGTAAAAAATCCATGGAGAGGAATACTAATATTGTTAACCTCTTGGTGTAGTCTAGAAATAGCACATAAATCATCATAATATATAGTACTAACTATTGCAATAAACTTATCATAATATTTGGATACGAGGTAACTCTAAGCATGTGGAATTCCAAACGGTGTGGGAAGCTATTACATTTGTTGTAGGCTGTCTAAAAATTATAACAGATAGCTGATCCCCCATCAAACACCGATGATGGAAATTACAATCTGATGACTTCCAGAAGGCTATAATTTGAAGACTTTCACGTAGATCGATGAAGGTTACAATTTAACGATCTTCACAATAACCGATGAAAGCTCTAATTCAATAGCCTTCACATTCAATATCGGGAGTTACAATCTGACGACTCTCATATTTTCAAGGAGTCAAGATGAAGATTACAAGATGACGGTCTTTGTAATGCTCCAGTAAAAAAGACCACAAATTAATGATCTCTTCACATCAAAACGCAGAGGTCATCCCTGCATTTTAACCTCAAAACGCAAAGGTCATCTATGTGTTACAACCTCAAAACGCAGAGGTCATCCCTGCGTTACAACCTTAAAACGCAGTTGTCATCCCTGTGTTACAACCTCAAAACACAGAGGTCATCCCTGTGTTACCACATCAAAACATAGATGACATCCCCATGTTTCAGAGTCAAAACGCAGAGGTCATCCCCAGCGCTCTAGTTAAAAACGCAGAGTTCGCGGACTCAAAATGCAAAGTTCATCTCTGCGTCCTAACTCTGCGTTTCAGATTTACAACGCAGCGTGACCTGTGCGTTCATCCACCAAAATAGGCCCAACTCTGCGTTTTAAGTCTAAAACGCAGAGTTCGGGCCCTGAACGTTATTTTTCAGCGTTTGACTCGTTCAAAGCAAGAACTGAACGGTTTTAAAACCGTTTTCTTCACGATTTGGGGAGCAGTTTAAGGGGACGGTTACACCCCATTCAGCCCCACTTAGGAGCGAATTAAGGGGGCGGTTACACCCCTTAATCCCCTATAAATAGGAGTAAACTCAACTGAGTTCGGATCTTTTTTGGATCTTGGAGTATCTTGAAGATTTAGAGATCGGTTTCTTCGGATCATCTTCGAGCTTCTTGTAGCAGATCATCTTCGAGCTTCTTGCAGCAACAAAGTTCTTGGAGCATTCTCTTGGCTTATTAACCGATTTTTCGGTTTAAATCAACTCTTTTTCAAGAGTTTAAACTCGCTCTGAGTTATCAACTCGTTCAGAATTTCAAACTTGCTTTGCAAGTTCTCCACAACGTCAAATCATGAGGAGAAGATATCGTTCCAGTGAATCAAGACGTTTGGATCGTCAACGGAGAGCAAACTCGACGTGAGAATTCGAGGGAGGCACTCCATCGCCACCGTGAAGAACCCAGAATTAAACAAAGGGGAGAATTCAGATCAATTCTTCTCTCTTTTGTAATCGAAAATCCAAATTGTTATTAAGATTGAGAGAATACAAATCAAATATATTTTTTTTAATTTTTCTTTTTAGTATAAATTTTTCACCAAACAAAAGATGGCGACTCCGCTGGGGAAAAGCTTCTCTGACGAAGAAGTGATGGCGCAATCCGATGTTCAGCTCGCTGGAACAACTGTTGAAACTTTGATCATCGAGTTCGATCATGTCAAATATGAGGAATTACTCATCTTCGGATCCCTTAGCCCCAAGGCTATGCGTAATATCCGCAAAGTCTTCAAGGAGATTAAAGTTCCAATCGTTGCTCCTATGCCGAAGCAAGCCCTCTCCTTTAGCCAAGATTGCTCGAACAACCCCTCCTTCGAAGGAGTAGGCTCAACTTGTGCCAAACGCAGCCCTCGGTGGCACGTTGCACAATCAAAACACACCCTTCAAGGCCGCGTTCCACAAACTGAACGCAACTCTCAGGAATGCATTTCAGAACCAAAACGCAACTCTCAGGAGTGCGTTCCAAAATCAAAACACAACTCTCAGAAGTGTGTTCCAAAATCAAAATGCAGATTTCAAGATTACGTTTCATCAGCAAAATGAAGACCTCAGGACTGCGTTTCACCAGCAACACCTGGAGCTCAGGCATGCGAGACCCCGAATACTCTGCGTAACGCGACTAGATTGAGGGGCGGATATAAGAAGTTTATGGATTCAAGGCATCTTAACCAGATTCATGTTTACCAAGAGCCAGTCTTGTCCAATCATGAACTGGGGGTTTTAAT